GAGATGGAAATGGAAGGAAGGAAGGAAGGTTGAAGGGGAAAGGAAGGAGATGGAGAAGGAAGGAGATTGAAGGGGAAGGAAGGGAGAGAGAGATTAAAGGGGAAGGGATGGAGATGGAAGGAAGGAACAAAGAAAGAAGATTGAAGGGGAAAGGAAGGAGATGGAGAAGGAAGGAGATTGAATGGGGAATGAAGAAAGGAAGGAGAGAGAGATTGAAGGGGAAGGGATGTAGATGGAAGGAAGATTGAAGGGGAAAGGAAGGAGATGGAGAATGAAGGAGATTGAAGGGGGAAGAAAGGAGATGGAGAAGGAAGGAGACTGAAGGGGAAAAGAAGGAAGGAGAGATTGAAGGGGAAGGGATGGAGATGGAAGGAAGGAAGATTGAAGGGGAAAGGAAGGAGATGGAGAAGGAAGGAGATTGAAGGGGGAAGGAAGGAAGGAAGGAGAGAGAGATTGAAGGGGAAGGGATGGAGATGGAAGGAAGGAAGGAAGATTGAAGGGGGAAGGAAGGAGATGGAGAAGGAAGGAGATTGAAGGGGGAAGGAAGGAAGGAAGGAAGGAAGGAAGGAAGGAAAGGAAGGAGGAGGAGGAAGGAAGGCAAGAAAGGAAGAGATTGATGGGGAAGGGGATGGAGATGGAAAGGAAGGAGATTGGAAGGAAGGGAAGGAAGGTTGAAGGGGAAAGGAAGGAGATGGAGAAGGAAGGAGATTGAAGGGGAAGGAAGGGAGAGAGAGATTAAAGGGGAAGGGATGGAGATGGAAGGAAGGAACAAAGAAAGAAGATTGAAGGGGAAAGGAAGGAGATGGAGAAGGAAGGAGATTGAATGGGGAATGAAGAAAGGATGGAGAGAGAGATTGAAGGGGAAGGGATGGAGATGGAAGGAAGATTGAAGGGGAATGGAAGGAGATGGAGAAGGAAGGAGATTGAAGGGGAAAGGAAGGAGATGGAGAAGGAAGGAGATTGAAGGGGGAAGGAAGGAAGGAAGGAGAGAGAGATTGAAGGGGAAGGGATGGAGATGGAAAGAAGGAAGGAAGATTGAAGGGGAAGGAAGGAGATGGAGAAGGAAGGAGATTGAAGGGGGAAGGAAGGAGAAAGAGATTGAAGGGGAAGGAAGGAAGGAAGATTGAAGGGGCAAGGAAGGAGATGGAGAAAGAAGGAGATTGAAGGGGGAAGGAAGGAAGCAGAGAGAGATTGAAGGGGAAGGGATGGAGATGGAAATGGAAGGAAGGAAGGAAGGTTGAAGGGGAAAGGAAGGAGATGGAGAAGGAAGGAGATTGAAGGGGAAGAAGGGAGAGAGAGATTAAAGGGGAAGGGATGGAGATGGAAGGAAGGAACAAAGAAAGAAGATTGAAGGGGAAAGGAAGGAGATGGAGAAGGAGATTGAATGGGGAATGAAGAAAGGAAGGAGAGAGAGATTGAAGGGGAAGGGATGGAGATGGAGGGAAGATTGAAGGGGAAAGGAAGGAGATGGAGAAGGAAGGAGATTGAAGGGGGAAGAAAGGAGATGGAGAAGGAAGGAGATTGAAGGGGAAAAGAAGGAAGGAGTAATTGAAGGGAAGGAAGGAAGGAAGAAAGATTGAAGGGGAAAGGAAGGAGATGGAGAAGGAAGGAGATTGAAGGGGGAAGGAAGGAAGGAAGGAGAGAGAGATTGAAGGGGAAGGGATGGAGATGGAAGGAAGGAAGGAAGATTGAAGGGGGAAGGAAGGAGATGGAGAAGGAAGGAGATTGATGGGGAAGGGATGGAGATGGAAATGGAAGGAAGGAAGGAAGGTTGAAGGGGAAAGGAAGGAGATGGAGAAGGAAGGAGATTGAAGGGGAAGGAAGGGAGAGAGAGATTAAAGGGGAAGGGATGGAGATGGAAGGAAGGAACAAATAAAGAAGATTGAAGGGGAAAGGAAGGAGATGGAGAAGGAAGGAGATTGAATGGGGAATGAAGAAAGGAAGGAGAGAGAGATTGAAGGGGAAGGGATGGAGATGGAAGGAAGATTGAAGGGGAAAGGAAGGAGATGGAGAAGGAAGGAGATTGAAGGGGGAAGAAAGGAGATGGAGAAGGAAGGAGATTGAAGGGGAAAAGAAGGAAGGAGAGATTGAAGGGGAAGGAAGGAAGGAAGATTGAAGGGGCAAGGAAGGAGATGGAGAAAGAAGGAGATTGAAGGGGGAAGGAAGGAAGGAAGGAAGCAGAGAGAGATTGAAGGGGAAGGGATGGAGATGGAAATGGAAGGAAGGAAGGTTGAAGGGGAAAGGAAGGAGATGGAGAAGGAAGGAGATTGAAGGGGAAGGAAGGAAGGAAGGAAGGAAGGAGAGAGATTGAAGGGGAAAGGAAGGAGATGGAGAAGGAAAGAGATTGAAGGGAGAAGGAAGGAAGGAAGGAGAGAAAGACTGATGGGGAAGGGATGGAGATGGAGATAGAAGGAAGGAAGGAAGGTTGAAGGGGAAAGGAAGGAGATGGAGAAGGAAGGAGATTGAAGGGGAAGGAAGGGAGAGAGAGATTAAAGGGGAAGGGATGGAGATGGAAGGAAGGAACAAAGAAAGAAGATTGAAGGGGAAAGGAAGGAGATGGAGAAGGAGATTGAATGGGGAATGAAGAAAGGAAGGAGAGAGAGATTGAAGGGGAAGGGATGGAGATGGAGGGAAGATTGAAGGGGAAAGGAAGGAGATGGAGAAGGAAGGAGATTGAAGGGGGAAGAAAGGAGATGGAGAAGGAAGGAGATTGAAGGGGGAAGGAAGGAAGGAGAAAGAGATTGAAGGGGAAGGGATGGAGATGGAAATGGAAGGAAGGAAGGAAGAAAGATTGAAGGGGAAAGGAAGGAGATGGAGAAGGAAGGAGATTGAAGGGGGAAGGAAGGAAGGAGAGAGAGAGATTGAAGGGGAAGGGATGGAGATGGAGAAGGAAGGAAGGATTGAAGGGGAAAGGAAGGAGCTGGAGAAGGAAGGAGATTGAAGGGGAAAGGAAGGAAGGAAGGAAGGAAGGAAGGAAGGAAGGAAGGAAGGAAGGAAGGAAGGAAGGAAGGAAGGAGAGAGATTGGAAAGGAAGGAGATGGAGAAGGAAGAAGATTGAAGGGGGAATGAAGGAAGGAAGGAAGGAGAGAGAGATTGAAGGGGAAGGAATAGAGATGGAGATGGAAGGAAGGAAGAAAGAAGGAAGATTGGAGGGGAAAGGAAGGAGATGGAGAAGGAAGGAGATTGAAGGGGGGAGGAAGGAAGGAAGGAAGGAGAGAGATTGAAGGGGAAAGGAAGGAGATGGAGAAGGAAAGAGATTGAAGGGAGAAGGAAGGAAGGAAGGAAGGAGAGAAAGACTGATGGGGAAGGGATGGAGATGGAGATAGAAGGAAGGAAGAAAGAAGGAAGATTGAAGGGGAAAGGAAGGAGATGGAGAAGAAAGGAGATTGAAGGGAGAAGGAAGGAAGGAGAGAGAGATTGAAGGGGAAGGGATGGAGATGGAAGGAAGGAAGGAAGGTTGAAGGGGAAAGGAAGGAGATGGAGAAGGAAGGAGATTGAAGGGGGAAAGAAGGAAGGAAGGAGAGATTGAAGGGGAAGGGATGGAGATGGAGATAGAAGGAAGGAAGAAAGAAGGAAGATTGAAGGGGAAAGGAAGAAGATGGAGAAGGAAGGAGATTGAAAGGGGAAGGAAGGAAGGAGAAAGAGATTGACTCGGCCGAGACAGGTGAGGCCAGGTGGAAGCTACGTTCCTTGCTCACCACTCGCGCTGGACTGTGCAGCGGCGCCGGCGAAGAGGGGCCCTCTGGCATCCCAAGCTGTGGCACCGTGGGTGCAGGCAGAAGCGCCGCTTCGGCAGATTCTGAGGCAGAAGCCGCACTGGGGACGTGAGGGGCAGGAAAAGGTGGAGGAACCAAGAGCTGCACCGGATCGCCTCCTTTCAGCCCAGTGGCTGGGTAGCAGGAGCAATGTGTCCAGTAAGAGATGGGCACAGGTCTGCAACTCCTCTTCACCAAAAAGCTCTGGGGCATCCTCGGGCAGCTCCGGAAGGCATCTGCGGCTGGTGATGCTGCTGCCTCAGTCTCTGAGCAGCAAGCGCAGTTCTACCATCCAGCTGGTCATTCTTTGACCACCCCGCCTTCCCTCCGTCAGCCGAGCCAAGCGGGAGAAACAGAAGTGGTGGTGGAGGAGGAGGCCTCTCTTGCTTTCTGCCGCTTGTTCTCTCTTGCTTTCTGCCACGTGCTCCGAAACCGAAACTTACTTAGTTTATATAGAAAAAAGCTGCACATGCGCAAAGAGAAGAGAGGCAGGAACAGCTCTGCGTGTCACCTGTGGCACTTTCGAAAGCCAATAAGAGGGAGTAGCATAGCTAAGGAAAAGGGGAAAAAATGGCGGACTGCGTTGTTTGGCAACCCCCATGAAATGGTCGTTCGACCCCAAATGGGGTCGCGACCCACAGGTTGAGAACCGCTGTCCTAAAGCTTTGCCGTTTTTCGTTGATTTTATGACACTTGATACTTCCTCCACTAGGATATCTGGTATTTCCTCTTTCGTGGGTGTTGTTACTTTTGAATGATCTTGATCTTTGTATAGCTCTGAATAGAATTTTCCAAAATTTCTAACATTTCCTGCTTTGTTCTATCTTCATGTTTTAATGCAAAATCTTTTTGTATTCATAAGCTTGCATTTTGCTCTATTCCTTTGTTTTCTTCACTTGCCTTTTTCAAAAGCTTCATGTTAAACTGACACATTTCTTCTTGGATATGTTTTCTTATGGTCTTGTAAATTTCAACATACTCCAGTTTATTAGTGAAATTTCTACTTTCTTCATTGACCATCATTTTTTCATTAAATCAATAGTTTCACCAGAGATTTTTGACTGGACAAAGTGTTTTTCAGGTAGTGCTATAGATATAACAGATTCAATTATGTTTTTGACTATTTGTTCATTTTGGTCTGTAATGTTCATCTCTTCCAAATCTTGCAATAGAGCAACAAGATTTGAAAGATTAATCTCAAAATTGCTATTCTCATAGCTTATCAATAGCTTATCACTATTTTTGTTTTTTTGTGACATCTATTATCATTTTCATATGCTCTTTTTGATTCTACCTTCACTTTAGCTCGTAACATTCTATGGTCACTTCCAACATTATAACAACCGATGACAGTACAGTTGCAGAATATGGTTTTATCACTTGACATGATGTAGTCAATTTCACTTGTGTACCCAGATGGACTCTTCCATGTCCATTTTCTTCTAGCCTTTTTCTTGTAAAATATGTTCATGATATAAAATCTATTAGTTTGTCACGTCTATTATCTCATTCACAGTTCCATATGGGCCAGTTGCTTTTTCTCCAGTTGTTGTCCTTCCTATTCTTGCATTAAAGTCACCCATTAGTATTTTGTATCAGCATTTTTCTTTATCTTGAATTTAGACCACATCATCATAAAACTATTTGACCTCATTATCACTATAGCTTATTGTTGGCACATAAGCTTGGATGATTTAAAGCTTGTATTGTTTGTTCAATTAAATGAGGCACTGGGCTATTCTGATATTCTTTCAAATGTTACCCTCTTTCAGCTTTTGATTGATGAGAAAACCAACTCTGCCACATCATCCATCCAGTACCTCTAATGTACAGTAAATGAATATTCCTATCAAGTTCAATTAAATTTTCACTTTTGTCGTGTTTTACATAATCCAATGATATCCCAATGCATATTATTGAGTTCAATCAGCAGTTCTTCTAGACAAACATCCATTTCTATTTTTCAAATGTTGACCATTCCTACCATGTTTTCCCGAAAGTAAAACCTACTCTAAAAATAAACCCTAGTTTAATTTTTGGGGATGGGCCTAATATAAGCCCTACCCCAAAAATAAAACCTAGTTTTCAGGCAAGGTGCATGCCTAAAAAATCAAATTAGGGTATGGCGGGGTAGAGCTTACCATTGTAGCCAGGCCTCCCAAGGATCGATACTTGCCTCACCAGAAGAAACAGCTTCATTCTGCAGCTGAGAATGGAGCTTGGCCTGCATTTTGCAGTCAGAGGCGTTTCCGGAAGGTATCTGCAGCCAAGAACCGAGCTATGGATCCATAGCTTGCTTTGCAGTTGCAGATGCCTTCCAGAAAGGCCTTTGACTGTGAAATGCAGGCCAAGCTCCATACTCAGCTGCAGAATGAAGCTGCACCTTTGGCCGCAGAAGAAGTGGGCCAGCTGGGCGGGGCTGTCGGTGCCACTGCTGCGAGGTAAGTGGAAAACACACACACACACACACACACAAACACACACACACACACACACACACACAAATGAATATAAGACCTGGTGCCTCTTTTGGAGGGGGAAAAAAATAAAATAAGACCAGGACTTATTTTTGGGGAAACACAATACGTTTAAAGTTCAAAGGCAGCTTGATTTAACCCGAAGATTCTTGGCACCCTCTGCCTTCAGACAGGTCTTCTTGCTGCCATAGGTAGTTGTCCTAGGTCCTCCAAGGAATGAGGATGTATTGGCACGTGGAAAGAATCTGCCATGCTGGTCCAATGCGGGTTAGCAGATATGATTGGTGTTAGTCTGGGGTATCCATCATAAAATAACAAACAGTACATTCAGAAAGTATTCAGACCTCCTTTGCTTTTGTCAATTTTGTTATGCAGCAGCCTGATTCTAGTTGTTGAAATTTATTTATTTTTCATTAATCTACACCCAGCACCCCATAACAACAAAGTGAAAATAGAATTTTAGAAATGTCTGTAATTTATTTTAAAAAACCCTGAAATATCATATTGGCATAAGTATTCAGACCTTTCACTCAGTACTTTGTTGAAGCACATTTGGCAGCAATTATAGTGTATATACAGCAAATATATATATATATATATATATATATTTGCTGATGTGGTATTTAAACTAAATTTATATATCAATCATTCCATGATCTCTGTAGATGCCTTACACTTAATAAATACATCTTTGCAAGGAGACAAGACTCTCTGGCCTTGAGGTCTCCTGTAGGACAAGCAGTTAATGCCATGAAAAGCAAGAGCAAGTTGTCTGATTTGAATGTGGTTATCTAACCTCGTAAGTTATTTAACCACAATTTTTGAGCAGCTTGCTGGTTCTTACAGTTGAGAAAGGATTTTTAGACTTTTTGGAGAAATTAAATCATTCTTCAAACTATTGTACATATTTAGTAGGCCAGTAATCTATGTTTAAGCCACTGTGTGGCCTAAGATTAAAACAATTTGGACTTTCTAGGTGAATTTAATTAGCAAAACACAAGCTAATGCGTACAGCACTTATACTTATTTTAGGATTATTGCGAAGATTTTGTCCAAATCTTCAGTTTGTTACTTCTGGAAAGTGATCTGTACTGACATTACACAGATCTATTAGAGTTGGGAGATTACGTTATTTAAATGTGTGTGTATGTGTGTGTGTATGTGTATATATATGTATGTATGTATGTATGTATGTGTGTGTGTGTGTGTATATATATATATATATATATATATATATATATATATATATGTGCAAGCATGTACATGTACGGTATGTGTGTGTGTGTGTTCGTACACACATACATTTATTTCAATTCTTTCAATTGTATAGCATACCTAATTCTGAAAATAAGAATAGGGAAAATTATATAAAAATTCTGTGTAAATGAATACATATAATCACGAACAATTCATAGCAGGTAGAAAAATAATTTCTGCTTTCTGTTTTTATTTTTCTTTTGAATTCTAAAGAAATTCAAGATGGCACAGGTCTGCTGACCAAAGGACAAAGGTCTAAAATTTCACTGGGTATTCTCAAGACTTTGGCCACATTAAAAATAAGAAGAAAGTTATTTGATAGCCACAAATCTTATTTTACCCAGGAACGCAAATGGAATGAAAGCAAAAGGCTTCTCCATTTTGGAATGGGGTAACTCGCCATGGCTAACTCACCAAGGGACAACTCACTGCAGGACAATTCTCTAATTCATTTAATTATTTAAAATAATTAAAAATTATTTTAATTTTTGTCATTCATATTTCATTTTGTCCTTCCTTTGGAATCCTTTCTTTAATGATTTTATTCCACCATTTCTTCGATATTAGTGTAACTCTTGTTCTGTAGCGAGTTTTCCTGTGGTGAGTTGGTCATTGCGAGTTGTCCTGCAATGAATTGGCCATGGCAAATTAGCTGGGGTAAGTTGCCCGTGGCGGCTGGAGCAATTTGGCCATAGCAAGTTGTCCTAGACCTTCTCCATTTTATCTTCCTATCAAATCTTTTCAGAACTAAGCAGCCTATGAAGTTGAAGATTCACGCATCAGGGTACTAATCAGTAATGGTCTTCTTTGACAGGGCTAGGCTCTCTTAAAACTTCTATGAATCAGTGACACAAACCAATTCTATTTTAAAATATAAACTTGGATGTCACCAAGTTACATTTTTGTGAAGGTCTGAAACTTGGTGGCCAGGTTTCTTGATGTTCAAAATATTCGGCTATATATTATTGAACTTGGCTACTTACTCTAAGGACTCCAACACAGGAGAACATTTTAATAAGTGATTCTATATGTCTAAGGGAAAATGGTATAGTGTGTAGCAGTCTTCCCACTATGCAACAACAAAAATGTTGAACTTTTACATGTGTGTGTGTGTGTGTGTGTGTAAATAATTAGGATTATCACCTGCAATTGCTCTATTTCTGCTCTGTTTAATTTGACATCAACAAGGTTAGCTGCAATTCCTTGAAAACACAGGAACACCTGTTTAAAAAGATTAAAGACTTAAATGATTAGAAACAGACATCCTAAAGTTATTTCCAACATAGCAAAAAATCACTTTTGAATGACAAATAGTGAGACACGATGGGGAAATTATCTGTATATTTCTGAAATGATTATTTAGCCAAATCTATGCCAAATTTGTCAGAATATTTTCTTTCATAGTTTATTCAGAATATATATCTGAATTATGAACCGATATTTAATTGAGCCTCAATATATTTAGCAAAAATAACTTTTGCATATTTTCTACAGAAACAATGCATAGAAAAGCTGGACACATGTATTTGTTACTTAAAAACCCTATAAAATATCAAGGAATGTAGTTTTCAACAAATCAGGACAACTTTACAATATTTACAGATCTATTTGTAAAGTACTTAGATCAGATGACTTGCTGTATCACTTTATTAAATATAAAATAGGATTCTCTGTGCTGTTAGTTCTGCTACTGTTTGTTGGACTTAGGCTCCTCTTGGATTATTAAGATAGAATAGAATGATAATAGTTTCAGTCAGATGGGAAATGAGCTGAATTATTAATATAAGTAAATAACACAGCCAAAACAGGGCCCCACCAATCCTTATTCTCCCTTAATAAATTTTGAAGCAATGAATTCTTCCTCAATTGTTTTCCAGGTTTTAGCTGAGTCTTTGAATTAATAATACTGATGGTCCTTGACTTACTATAATGGATCCTACCCATTACAATCACAAGTCATGGTGACTGTTAAACAAGGTGCCCACATGATCACTTTGCTTAACAATACCAATCGCTGCTCTCCCTATTGTGGCTGTTAAGTGACTATAAGGGTTACATAGCAGAGCACAGGGTGGCTCAGCTCATGTGTGACCTGCCCCAGGCCTTCCTCATCCAAGGGAACCAATACTTCACTTCCTGCCCCACTAGGCTCCCACAGACCGCATCCTGCTGGGTCTCAAACTCTCCTCCCCACCCATCCCCACAGCTCGCAGGCCAAGAAGCAGAATGGCCACCTCTTTTTCCCAAATTAATTGTAGCTCTTCTCAAAATGGCACCCACTTCCAGGGTGGTGCCATGGAGCCTCTATATAGGAAGACCATGTGGTAGAATGGCTGCTTCCCAAAGGAGATCTACAAAAAAGATAAATGGACCGAGCTGTGATGGGATGTGTGGAGAAGGGTGTGGAACCCAGTGGGGCGGGAAAGAGATCCAAGGCCTATGGCAATTCAGCGGGGTAAAGATATTGGGATAGCAGCCGTAACTTCAGGCAAAAGTCACTAAGTTGCTTCATTCAGTGCCTTTATAACTTTGAATGGTCACTGAATGAATGGTGTAAGTCAAGGATTACCTGTAAACAGACAGAAAAATACAAGTGAAAGTTAAGCAGGAAAAGAAAAAAAATCTGAAAAAGACATAGAAAAAACAATTCAACAGTTGCATACAATAGCGGAACATGAAAAAATAGTAAATTATATAGGATCAGGTTGAAGGCTATATGAATTGGGGACATAGTATTCCAAATGGCAGATTCCATGACAGAGAAGACACACTTCTTGGGACCCACCAGATAGCACTTAATTGATGGTACCCAAATCAAGCTGACTCTGATACTCTGTGGAATGGGGAAAACAAACACCATGGGATAGCCAGTTCCTCATGCCAGAAAAGCCTTATTGGTGACAACCACTAACTTGAATTGTAACTGCAAACAGAAAGAAAAGTGGATAGCTGAAGAGTTAGAAAAACAACTAAATTTCCCAGGCTATTTATCCCAAACAGTAGCTATCTTCAAAGATTCTAATTTTGTAGTAGTAATTTTACTAATATTTTTGTGGAAATTCTTTTGTTTTCATCAATTTTATCTATTCTTACCATTTACTGCAAGATAATCCCCATCACAATTGATAAAGGTTTGAGGACATTTTATCTTCTTATCAAAGTATGGTATAAAAAGTTATAAAACAAAGATCAAGAGACTCCAATTATGCTAGCCTGATTCTGCCAATTGTTACAAATTCAGAGTTACAGTAGTGCTATAAAAGTGCAATAGATAGGGATAGGAATAGGGTAGAGGAATGGAATGGAATGGAATTAATGGAATGGAACAGAATAGAATACCATGTTTTCCCGAAAATAAACATATCCTGAAAATAAGCCCTAGCTTGATTTTTACCTATGCACCTAATATAAGCCCTACCCCAAAAATAAGCCCCGTACAAGGGGGACGAGGCGCATGCGTAAAAATCAAGCTAGGGTGGGGATGGGGGGTGGGAACTGATGAACAAAGTACTCCATGAGCACCTGTATAAGGGGTTTTTGGTGTACTTGGACAATATTCTAATCTACATCGAAGCCAAAGCAGAGCGGCCCTAAAGAAGCTCTGCTCTGCCAAATTATATGCCAAACTGTCAAAATGTGAATTCCACTGAGTAGGATTGACTATTTGGGCTATAGCATTTCATACAAAGGGGTGGACATGGATCCGGAAAAAGTGTGGGCCATCCTGGAGTGGCCCCCTCCCTACACCAGAAAGCAATTATAGAGCATTCTGGGGTTTGCTAAATTTTACAGACAATTTATCCCCTCATTTGCACAGATTGCGCTCCTCATTACAAATCTGCTGCAAATGAAGACAGAAAATAAGCCGAAGCCCAGCCAGCCATTAAAGTGTACTGTAGAACGCCAAGCCACATTCGAACAGCTTAAGACACTTTTTTCCTGTTCTAGAACTATACTTTCGTTCTTTTATCAATTATCAGCAAGATAATTGGACCGATCAGTTGCCGTTTGCTGAAGTGGCCTATAATAATGCAGTGCACTCCAATACCAGTTTCACTCCTTTCCAAGTGCTAATGAACAGACTTTCATCCCTATGCCTGAGCTGCCTGCTAGCAAACCTGCCATTCCCTCCCTTAAGGAATGGGTTCATCAGTTGCAGAACATTTGGTCGGTTGTTAGGAAAATTCTAGATGAAGCCAGGGCAGCATATAAGGCTCAGGCAGATAAAAAAACACATGGAACCGAAGCCTTTCTGAGTGGGGGATAGAGTTTACCTTTCCACCAGGTTTTTGCAATCTCCTGCAACCATCCAAGAAATTAGGACTGAAGTATAATGGCCCTTTCCCTATTAAGTGCATTATAAATCCTGGCACAGTGGAATTTGTTGTTGTTGTTGTTAATTGCGAAGTCGTGTCCGACCCATCGCGACCCCATGGACAACGTTCCTCCAGGTCTTCCTGTCCTCTACCATTTTCTGGAGTCCATTTAAGTTCATACCTACTACTTCAGTGACTCCATCCAGCCATCTCATTCTCTGTCATCCCCTTCTTCTATTGCCCTCAATCTTTCCCAGCATTAGGCCCTTCTCCAGTGAGTCCTTCCTTCTCATTAGGTGGCCGAAGTATTTGAGTTTCAACTTCAGGATCTGGCCTTCTAAAGAGCAGTCGGGATTGATCTCTTCTAGGACTGACTGGTTTGAATGCCTTGCAGTCCAAGAGATTAGAACTCCCTAAGAGCTTACGATAAATCCATCTGGTGTTCCACTGCAGTCTGCTGAAACCTGAGGTCACATCTCTGTTAAGGCCTGTCACTGCTCCTCCTTCACCACCCACTATGGTGGAAGGTGAGCAGCATTTTGAGATCAAGAACATTTTAGACTTTCACAAGCATCACTGTTCTAGTTGCCTGGAAAGATCTTCCTGCCTCGGAAAACAAGTGGGTTTATAAGCAATATGTTAGAGGCCCTAATGTATTTAGGGCTATCCCAATAAACCTGATTGATGTGTTTCATTTTGGTGGCAGAGAGAATGCTTGCTTGGGGAATGTATTTGCCTGTCTCTGCTCTGTCCTCTTTAAAACGTCCTCCCTTTGTGAGAAAGGAATGTGGCTTGAAAACATCTGCCTTATCTCCAGACAATGAAGCCTGGGACTGCTGGGACATGAAAGCAAGTGAGACCTTGAGATAGGTGCTAAATTACCAGATTCTCAAAACAACCTAGCATCTATGGATTGGCTGGATTTCAACTGGATGGTTGGACACTGGGGGAAGGAGTCCTGAATGGGCATTATGATGTAACTTTTCGCACACAAATTCTTCAGACCTTGCTTTGCTCTATTGCTATCATTAACTCTCAATAAAAGTTCTTTTTGAATGCCTGTTTAAAGAATTGTGCTTTCTTGGGAGATCTAGTTGAGGCAAACTCTTACAATAAAAAAATTGATAAAAGTGAAGGGGTCTGAATACTTTCTGACTGCACTACTCTCTCTCTCCCCCCCCCTCTCTCTCTCACACACACACACTGCTGCCTGATTCTACAATTATTGACATTCATTTTTTTCTCATTAATCTATACTCAGTACCCCATAATGTCAAAATGAAAACAGAATTGTTGAAATGTCTGTAAATTAAAAAGAAAAAACTGAAATATCATTGTGTATGTGTGTCTGTACACACACATACACACAGACACAAGTTAATATGTCCAAAGATCTGTTTGCTTTGATAACAAACATACTTATCACAAGAAGTTTTTTTTTAAAATAACAATGAAACAAAGTATGTTTTTTTTTAAAAAAACTGTCAACTTGGGAGAAGTATAACATCCTAAATATCTAAAATGAACAACCCAGTTCTAAAAGTTGATATTGAATGTGCAATATTGGTACCCAGCTCTGGAGATTCACAAAAATGCAAAATGACAATATTGTTAAAATAACATTATTCATAATACTTACAGAATCGCCGGTCTTCGCTGATACAAAATGATTGCTAGAATGACTTTCCTGGCAAAATTGAAGATGTTTATCAATTTTTACTGTCCGTAGATGTTCCAAATCAACTAAAAAATCAGTGGGGAGAAAAAAATTGTATAATGAAACTTACTTAGCATAAACATCTTTAAAACAGTTTTCCATTTGGTATCATGTATCAATAGTAGATTCCACTTTCTCCTAAAATTAGTCACAAAGAGTTGTTGTCCTTATCTTCATCATCAAGCATCCATGTCTATTATCAGTTGTGGGAATCTTCAATCTCATACATAATCTGCAACCTACTGCTTTATTTATTCCTTTATGGTAGAAACTGACTATACAGCTATTAAGAAAGAAGTATAAGAAAAAACTATTATTTCAATAAATATATTCTATTTGACAATAAACTGGAAAGACTAAGTCACCAAAAACATTTTTTTAATACAGAGAATATTTTTTCTGTGAATTCTCTCATAAAGGATTTGGTTAATTAAAGTTTTAAACTTCAATTTTTGCAATTATACAGGAGTAAATCCCACTGAAAATACATACATACACACACACACACACACACACACACACATCATCTGTAGGCAAATGTCCTTTTAACCTTTTGATTCTACATTTTCTCTGTATTTATCTTGGCTGCTTCTAAAATGTTTTAATGATATTGACATATATTTCATATGTTTATTTTCAATTTTTTTTCAAAAGCAATTCATTTTGAGAATTGGTAAGAATTGATGCCAAAATGAAAAAGAGTAGAAGTGTTTCAAATCTTATTTTGATCATCACAAGAGTTTACAATAACACAGATTTTATTTACTCTTGATAAGAGATCCATGCTACAAAATTCTAAACTTCTAGGTAACTCATATATATATATATATATATATATATATATATATATATATATATATATATATATATACATACACATGTACCAAGTACTTAAATATTTAAAATATATTCCAATTAATACAATATTAATAACATATAATTTTAATATACAATGGGTTATTGTTTATTTATAATATTTAATTTGCTCAACACAATAACTCTGGGTAATGTACACAATAAAAACAACACAATACAATCTAAACAGAGTGCAATCTGGAAATTAACATACCAAACACAATAATTACATTCCCACAGTAGCACACACTTCCTAGTCCAGCACTTGTAAATGCCAACCCAGAAAACCCACAAGATGGCCTGTCAAGACTGATTTGCAGGACCTATATTCTGCTTCACTCGCAGCTTGACAAAGAAAAGGGAGGAGGTGGGATGGAATGCAAGGGTGGGAGGAATTGTATTTGAGCATTGTTGGTTCCCATGAGACAGTACTCCAACTGCTCCAACCCATGGACATATTGAGGAGATGGTCTAGCATGGTTCACTGGTTCACATAATAAAATGAACAGAAGTGATTGCTGAACCTTAGAAAAAGGGGAGGGATTAACTATGCTAGTTGATTTCACTTCATCTGTGTCAATATGGTTTATTCAGTAAAGTTTATACTCTTGGTAAAATAATGTCCCAGGAGTTTCTTTTTCTGGATTCGCCAACAGCCCTAGAAAGGGTGGAGGTTGTTGAGTTCACCCCATCATCCAATGATGATGCAAGAATTCCGACAGCATCACTTAGGAATGCAACAGAGAGCAACACTGACACAGACAACAATCCCTTGGCAAGTTGCCCCATGACACCCATGACCGCAGAACTGGTGGTGACCTCCTCGGGGCATAAGGGAAAACTGGTTGCCCTCTTGGACTTAGGCCATATCAGATACCTGGTCAGCCCTAGTTTAGCTGAGAAGTCTGGTCTGTGACTCAGAGAGCCTGGGGTGCCAGTGACCTTCTGCCAGTTGTCCCCTCACGACATTTGTCACTGAACCAATAGAAATGAGAAGTGGCGCCCATAAAGACCCTAATCTTCATTGTGGCACCAGGCATATTGGGTTTAGGATGGCTTCTGAAGTGGAAGCTCCACGTAAACTGAAAAGGGGGTGTAAGGTCCTGCCTCAGCTAGTTCTCCCAAGAAAGCAGAACTCTTCAAAACTGGCATTATTTGAAAAGGAACGTCTATTGAGAGATAGTGAAAGCAGAAAGGCAAGGCAAGATCTGCATATTTCCCACACAAAAACATTACATTAAACCCCTCTCTTAAAAACCCAAGTGCCCAACTGCCCAGTCTATTTCCAGCCAATCCACAGGTGCGAAGTTGTTATGGGAACTGGAAGTTGAAAGAATGATAAAGCGCTAGTCCCAGGCATTTCATCCTCTTTTCACCAGAGTAGAGATAGGGCAGATGGCCCCAGGCACATTCCTCCCCCCTTTCACACCCAAAGGCATACATCAAAGTGCAAAAGAACAAAACAAAACAAACACATCCCAGAACCCAAAGATTCCTCTCTCCCAACAGAATAAAGATTCCCCCCCTCCCAACAGAATGACAGTATCCCGATAGTGATCTGAGGGGCCTGACCTACCGCTCCCCTTAGAAGAAAGAGAAATCCACCTGGAAGAACAGAAAATAATAAAGTGGAGAAAGAAAATCCATTGATTAATCAGGCTTATCCAGGTAACGTGCACGAAAACGCTTGAGTAACCTAGGGGATCTAACATGTTTCTTGTGAACCCATTAATTTTGGGATGCTAGGGTGCTGAAAGGCCAAGCATTTCCCCCTGTATCCATTTTGCTGCTATACATGTAGGGCAACTAGCCACATAACCCTCGATGACCTTTTTCATAGGCCACCAAAATTGTCTTTTTAACTGGCGTAGGGTCTTTACACACCCGAAGTGTCACACCACCTTTGAGTCATGGCATGTTTGCACAGTCTTTAGTCTCTGGCTGGCCAGAATGTACAGCTCCCCTCCTACCCATGCTAGCCCCTCCCACATGGAGCAGAGGTTTTTATGACTAAGAAACTATTCGTCCTTTTCCATGACTCATTTAAAGACCAGGGTGACATTGTTGTCTGGTGGTGGGATGCCTTTCAATTGTACCCTCTTGATTACTGGGGCTGCTAATTGCTGCACTGGGAGCAGATGTTTATTTTGGCTTTTACACTGTTATATTGCAGCAGCCTAGATAGGGTGTCCGCCAGGAAATTTTTTCCTCCTGGTAAACAGCAGAAGGTAAAATTGAAATGCTGAAAGTGTTGGACCCACAGTACTGGCTTGGTAGACAGCTTCCTTGGGGATTTCAATGCTTCTAGGTTTTTGTGATCAATCCAAACTTGGAAAGAGATTTTACTCCCTTCTAATAAATGAGGAGGCCCACCTTACTGCGTAGGCTTCCTTTTCCCAGACTGCCCAGTGTTGTTTGGTCTCCGTCAACTTTTTTGAAGTGTATGCATAGGGCTGCAGTTGCCCCTTTTTGTTTTCCTAGAGCAGTACAACACCTACGGCCACATTGCTAGCATTGGCCTGAATGACAAATGGTCTCTCTGAGTCTGGATGCCTCAGTACCAGCTCCATAGAAAAAAGTCTTTTCAAATTTTCAAATGCGGCTTGGCATTCCATACTCTGTCATGGTTCCGACTATGAAACACTTCAAAGAACTTCCAGGCATTGTTTATCCTAAAAAGTCTTTATTTTGTGTAACAGAGTGTCAGCACGGCATGGATGGATACCAAGATCTGAATTCCCCTCCTTTGCACATAACATTCCAGCCTATTCTCCTCCTCTATTTTGCAGTCATAAATCATGTTCTCCAATCAGCCTGGGGGGCAAAGGTTCACTTCCATTCTGTAGCCTGCGCAATTACTCTCCTCACACATTCTTTCTCCTCCCCTCCCAGCATCATCTAAGTTAATTCTAAAAATACCAGACAGTTCTGCATATCTTGTCAAAGCAATAATATCCAATATTAGCAGCGTTGACATCCACGCCCCCCCTTACAAAAAGGATCGGTCCTGTATGTAAACAAAAGCATATGTCAGAGATTATCACTTGGTTTCTTGGAGTTTTTCTCATGAAACTTTTTGATGAGTTGGTCAGCCTTCACATTGCTAGATTTCACCCACGTAGCTTCAGACAACGAGTACCTCTTCCGTTGTACTAGGTATTGCAATTTCCCTTTAAAAATTCTAGAGTCAAGAATATGTTTCACTTCATAGTGAGTCTGACCCGGTACCATGAGGGGCCCGGGTGCCTTCTTAGGGGGAAGTCTTAAAGTGGAGCCCCGTCAAGGTTTTAACAAGCTGCAATGGAAGACAGGGTGAATCCACTCTAAAAGTCTAGGGAGTTTCAATTTGATTGTGACGGGGTAAATAATCCTTGCGATGGGGAAAGGCCCCAAGAACTTTGGTCCCAATTTCTTGCTGGACAATTTGAGGCGTAAATATTTAGTTGACAGATAAACCTTTTCCCCAACTTGGAATATTCTTTGGGGAACCCTCTTTTTATCAGCCTGCTATTTATAAGCCTTGGAAGACTTTTTTAACACAGTTTTCGTGTTTCTCCAAACTTCTTCCAAACCCCCTCACCCATTGATCAAGTGTCTGGGAGGCGGAGGGCACTTGAGGGTATTCAGGTATTGGGCTGAACTCTTTTCCTGTGGCTACTCTGAAAGGCGTGTAGCCAGTACTGCTGTGCACACAATTATTGTACACCACCTCTGCGAAAGGGAGGTCAGTCCAGTTTGTCTGTTGGTAGGAAATGTAGCATCTGAGATATTGCTCCACCATTTTGTTAGCGGATTCTGCAGCCCCATTGGTAGTCAGATGAAAAGCAGATGATAAGCCTTGAGATGATCCAATTAATTTAAGAAAACTCCTCCAAAACTTCACTGTGAACTGCACCCCCCTGTCCAAAATTATTCACTTAGGGACACCATGCAGCTGGTAGATATGTTTCAGGAATAATTTGGTTAGTCGTTGGGCAGATGGGAGTCCTTTGCAGGCGATGAAATGAGCCTGCTTCGAGAACAGGTCTATCCCAGTCCAGATAACAGTATTTTCTCCACTTTCAGGTAGGTCTACTATAAAGTCCATAGCTATTTCTTCCCATGGCTGAGAAGGGTCTGCAACTGGCTGCAGTAACCCAGGGCTTTTCCCTGGGATTCTTTTCATTGTGGC